TGGCTTCCAGGCATTGGTTGTGTGCCTGATGTACTGGCAGCACCTGAATGGCTTCCAGGCATTGGTTGTGTGCCTGATGTGCTGACAACTTCTAGTTGGCTTCCAGGCATTGGTTGTGTGCCCGGAACATCTGAAATGCTTACCGGCAGTACTTTTTCTGCTGGATGGCCTAGCATCTGCCTTCCTTGACTTTTGTAAGGACAACTAGATCAAGAGAAATTGATATGATTTAAAGTGAAAAAACTTGACAAAACTTAAAAAACAATAAACATGGGTTTTACTCACAGAAAAACTGTATCAGTAAGTACGCCGAGATTTTTGGGATTCATTTTAGAAAGCAACTGTCAAATTTAATATCAGTAAAAAAAGTGAATTTGTAAAAAAAAATATCGAAAGCTTGGTCACCGGTGGCATGCCTGGGTGGCATGTATGATATTTCTTTAAAAACCTAAAGAGGCCGTCTCTGTAAGAACCTCATAACCATTTTGGGTGAAAAAATAGATTTCTTTTAAACTTTGTGTGTGAGTGTGCCCTTCCAAGGTTATTTCCAAAACACATTTTGTTTTGTGTCTCGGCGCTTTTTTGCAAAGTTTCAGGGGGGGTCCCCTTGGGGGCCAAATTAGTGATTTTGAGTTGTACTTCTCTTTCATGAAACTTGGGCGATGTTTTAAAAATCGTAAATCCATAACAAATCATAATAATTTCAAATCCTTCCATATCATAGTAGATATATATCTTATGCAAAGATGTTATATATAAACTTATTTATATCTAGATATTTCAATTTTACCGACCATCGATAATCGACTTTGGCCAGTTGGCTAAAATATGGCTTAGGAAAAAAAATCAAAACTCAAAAGTTAGACTTCGTAGGACTATAATATTTAATTACTGCAGAGATAAAAGGTAGTTCTGACAGAAATTAAAATAACATTTTGCTGCCAGGAGGTTTTGAGAAGCAAACAGGTCGACTGTTTCCAAGGTGCTGTGCGGCGAGGTGGTTGTCGAATGGGTGCTGCAGAACCAGTATTAATGTGATGTTGGATGAGATCGCTCCTTCCGAGGTCACTGTCCAAGAGAGCAAACACGTGTTGATAGTTCAAGAGTAACTGTTCAACCTGCTTTTGTTCAGCGTCATTGAGAAATGTGCTACTTCGAGACAGTAAATCATTCAATGGCTTGGGCAATATTCACCTTCACCGTCCATTTCTGTCTCATGTTTACCATCACCAATTTCAAAATTGTCAACTCTTTGAACTAGCTTTACTATGGCTGCTTTAGTGTTTGATTGGATAGTCTGTGGCTCATCTGTCAGATTAAGAATTCTCAAAGGAGCAGTGTCTGACTTACTAGCGCCTACCAGTGTACAAACAACACAAAGTCTACTCATCTTTGCATAAGATATATATCTACTATAATATGGAAAGTTTTAGTATTATTATGATTTGTTATGGATTTACGATCTTTAAAACATCGCCCAAATTTCATGAATGAGAAGTAGTCAAAATCACTAATTTTGGCCCCCTAGGGAGCCCCCCTGAAACTTTGCAAAAAAGTGCCAAGACACAAAACAAAATGTGTTTTGGAAATAACCTTGGAAGGGCACACTCACACACAAAGTTTGAAAGAAATCTATTTTTTCGCCCAAAATGGTTATGAGGTTCTTACAGAGAATGCCTCTTAATAAGTGTGTTTAATCTTGAAGATCTCAGAATCAGGATAAAATGTAATTTTAAAAAATGTGAAATTAATTTTTAAACCATGACAATTAAAAATGTTCCGAAATTTTATGTCGCTCAGTCATTTTTCCAAAGTTTTTGCGTATGAACTTACCCTAATTCCCTAATCGCGTAAAGACGGTTACTTTTCTTGAACAAGCACTGTCATGAACTCTTTTATTTCACTATAACGTTCTTTATCACTGTAATGTAACCAAGTTGAAAACTGGTTGATAACAACCTACATTCACCTACAACTCATTTCCATGCTAAATCAAAGTGTCAATCAATCAATTAGAACTAACCAATCACACCAGAGATCCCCGTGGCGCTTTTGGTATTTAGGGAGGGGAGGTTGTAGTTGACCAAAATAACTTTGCGGAGTCCACCTAAGTGCTTTTGTCATGTATACACGTGTCCAAATATGTCAAAGTGACATTCCGGTGTTTACATTCAGCAACACGAATGACAAGAATGACAACCAAATGTGAACGAAATTCAAACAAAAATACTCCATTGAAAAGCGCAATCTCACATCCTTCAAAGTCCTGTCGACTTTGCAAATGTAGTATTACGTTTGGAAGACCAAGAATTCACCTCTTTGGCCCAAAGTCTCGCAACGAAAATCTTGTGAAACGACTAGCTGTTGTTCTTGACGCTGAGGTTCACGTTCACGACGGACTTTCTGAATTTTTTTGTCAGAAGTGTTACCGCGAATTCTTGAAGCTTGAAAAGGTTATACAGCAAAACAAACAACTTGATGTTTTGAGACAAACATATAAACGATCTATTGAGGAGGAACTTCTGAATTTAAAAAGCGATCGTCAAAAGCGATGTAACAAGGATTCGCCGTCTGAATACAAAAAGAAACAGAGATCTTCCGACCAAAATACAAGCTTTATACCGACTGCTAGAAGAACATTACTGCCAAAGACATTAAACTACGATAATCCCTTAGAGAACGTCAGTTTCATTCCTCTTGAGGATTCACAGAATCAAGGGCCGATTCTCGATACATGCAGCAAAACAGAGGTGAGAAGTCACAGATGTACTTGTGATGTTAGTTCAACATATATTTCAGCTATTTTTACGGTGATTTGACGGTGTAATTTTATTGCTTTTAAATAGAAATTCGTGTAGCTAATCATTATTATTTGGTGTCCCAAATAAAAGTTGGCAAGTTAACTATTACTGCTATTCTTGAAACCCAAATTCTAGACAAATCACACCTCCAAATCACCGCAAATCACAAATCGCCATTGTATGTGCCTTTGCACGAGAGAGAGTTTTCAAAGCTTGAAGAGGTGTTATGATCAAAGCTGAAAAATAGCTTAAATAATAATAGTTTAAAACTAAATATAAATTCATGTATATACCGCATGACAAAGTTCCACGCTGATTACAATTATTATTCTGATAGGTCCATTTAAATTTCCCTTCAAAAAAAGTTGTGAAAACAATAAAGAATGAGGTGGATGCTTTCGTATGGGGAATACAAATATGCAGCAAATGCGATATGGAGCCAAGATGAACTAAAGAAAGAACTGGTTCACAAAATTCAAGCAGAAATTGGACAAGAATGCCAGAAATTATGCAGCACAAAGTCTCCTTCAATGTTGAGAAATTGTGATCCTCAAAGTTTGTCGAATTTTTCGGAGGAGGAGTTTGAAGAAGAACTTAAGCTCAGATCTCCAGTGTTTCACTCATGTCTTACAACAGCAATCAGCAACAACAAACGGAGCAAAAACAAGTCAACTGCTCCCACCATAACTATGGCTGCTTCAATCCTATTGAAGCATAGATGTCCACAAATGTCTGCCCAGGCTTACAGATATTCCATAGGAGTCCTCTGGCATAGTGGAGCTAAAAAGCAGGTAAGTGTTAAAGAATTAACTTTTATTATCCTTGTCATTATTATCCTTTATTATCATTGTCATTATCATCATCATGCATTATCATTATTAGCATATATATGATCATTAACAGCACTGTTATTATCATTAACATTGTTGTTGGTATCAAATGTTGCCTATAGCTCTAAAGTTGTTTAACTTGTCTTTTAAACAGGGATTCCTGAGAAGTAACAGATGGGGTGTTTCCATTAGCCATTCCATGACTTTGAGTAAATTAGATGAAATGGGTGTTGGACAGGCGTCTCAAAGGATGGAAGGAAGACCTTGAAACTCATGCTAACTGTGCAAGCTTATTGTTGGAGACTCAGCGATTTTTAAGTGAGAGGAATGAGCATGAATTTATACCACCAGGAGTTTCTACAATAGATATTAGTGGACTTGATTTATCATTTCCCACTTTGCCACAATATTCCGCGCAAGAAGGTCCACCCAAAGTGACCAAATGTTCATCAACTCATCTTGTGAATGATGAACAGCACTTACCAGTGGCAATGGAATGCATGCCGGTAGTACAAAATGAAATTAAGGACAAACGTAAGAAACATCTTGGCCAGAAATTCCAAGAAGCATCAATAGAAAACATTTTTGAATTAATTGATAAGGAACTTCCACAAAGCAAGTATGATTCACTTGATACATCTGTCATCAATAGACTTGTGCACACACATGAGAGTCTAAAGCCACCCAGTTATCAAATTATTGGTGATAATATTGACCTTCATGTTAAGGCTAAACACATGAGCAGTGAACGGCAAAATAAAAGCATCCACTGGTTTGCACTTAATGCCATACAAGATGGAGTCAATGGCTTGGATCTCCCAGATGACAATCCGATAAAAGATGTCCTTGAAATGGAAAACATTGAATTTTTACCATCAATAACCGATAATGACGATCTACTGCATGACTTGATTCCCTTGTGTGCCAGGATTGCAATTGAAAAATTACCAGCCCTTAATTGCTTCAAGGATGTTAAAATTTGTCACATTCCACATAGATACTCACAAGTAATGAAGCAGAAGTCAGCACAGGTAGATAGAATTTAGAAATAAGTAATCATATGGGAATGATTGTACGAAGTGTAGTTCCAGAAATTATCCATACCCCACAGAAAAATTTTGAATTTCCTAGGGGTGGGGGTCAGAGAAAGGACAAAACTACAGAGTTTGTGTGGATGAAAATTGGAATTTCCAGGGGAAATTTATGGAACTACATGATTATTAATAGTTTGAAAATAGACAACCCCTTTTCAACCCGTTACCTCCACCCTATCCTTTTTTTCTCATCCCAAGAAAAAATTCAAACGTCATTCTTGTAGAAAGCTGGGGGAGGGGGGTAAAGCCTTGCCCTCAACCTCTCCTCTGATGCCACTGTCCCTGTAGATATGAATTTGGTTCCAGTTATAATTCATTCATTAATTGTATTATTTCTATATTTAGGAGCCACTAGGTATTCTATTTAAAAATGAAAACCTGAATGATGAAATGATAGACATTCTTCAAGCCATTCATGACAACTACATCCCAGTAACAGTGACACAAGAGCCTACAGAAGATGGGTACACATTAGCTTCTGAAGTCACGGAACAAGTATTCTTTGGAGGTGACCAGTTAACAGAYGAAAGGGCCAGAAATTCTATTGATGCTAGAGGTGATGGAGATTCTCTACTTGAAAGGTGAGTTTAATTGTGAATCTTTCAAGTATTTATCTAGTTTAAAAAAAGAAATACACGAGTTCCCATCTATAACAAGAGTAAAAGTAAATTAAGTGTTGTGTGGCCGCCATCATCATCTTTTCTATTTTTTTATTTTGCTATTAGCAGGAAGGTGTTGATTTTGCAAACTTATTTATTGTCTTTTATTGAAATGCTTGAAGGAGTAATTCCAAAAGTTGAAGACTGGCATGCTATCAGACTTGTGTATCAGGTACTGTACATACATAACATAATAGCGTATAATTAAATGTTTGATGTATATTGTATCAACTGATCTTATGACCACTGAATCAAAAAAAGTTTGTTTTTAGTGTTTTGATATTATGTTTTTATCTTAAATATTATATTGAAACATATCATTTCTTTTTCAGATCATGTACGATATATTATATCATCCGAACTCTGCCAATGATGCAGGGAGCATGTGCTCAAACATGAATGTTACCAACAACACAAATGCAAAAACAAAGAATGTATTAGACAATTTTAACTACTGCAAGGACTTTGTAAAAGTTGAGACCGAGGCATTTATTGTTGCTGCATTCATGGCCCATTTCAAGATGGAATCATATGAAGGTAGCATTAACATCCCTACATCTGTACTGAATGGAACGAAGGAAGATAGAGCTATGTGGCTACACCAACATGTGAAAGAAATGTTAGAAACATTCATAATGACAAAGCAAACAAAAGAGTATTAGAGCAACTAATAGAAGAAGTGACCATTGCAAATCAGCCTCCTCAGCCTAAAGTGTTTCTCTGCCGATGCTGTGGGAAGTCATATGTTTACAAAAAATGTCGTGATCGACATGAAGTTCAACTACACCCTGACTTCACACCACCTGTGGAAGAAACATGTGACAAGGAAACATCTGATTCAGCAGATGACCCCAAGCAAGATAATAAGCATGAAGATTACATTCACAATTATGCTTGTGCAAGATTGCTACTCCACAATTTTGATGATTCTGTCAAGGAAGGGATGGGGAGAGAATCATAAGATGTTGGAAGTTTTTGTTATTAATTTTCAAGTGTTATAACCACAACAAGTATGCCTTAGCCACTCTACAGCTATTAGCAAACATCAATACTATGTTGACACCAAGGAAAGCTCACTCCTTGATCTGGAACAGGACAGTCAACAACAAGGGGGGGAAGGGAAATAACATTTCTCTGGATTTAAGAATGGAACATATTGTTCACTTACACAAGGAGATGCTTGCCAACCTTGGTGTAAACCTCACTCCAGAGTGTGCTCTTCGATGTAGCAAGGCAGTAAAACCTGTGGAAGACCTTCTGAGGACTGTGGATAATGAGCTGTTATGCAGGAGACCATCTGGTAAACATACAGTCACTCGCTCACAATCAGATTTTGAACTTATCGTTAATGAACTCCACAATAAAGGCAAGGTATTTCAATGCACACCAGCTGACAACAGGCAGTATGGATGCTTCCCAAAGTTCAAGAAAACACTGGTCAATGACCTCAACTACAACAAACTTAACAATTGGATAAACCATACACAAGAAACATTGGTCAAACAATGGAAAATAGATCTGTGGAGGAAATCGTCAATTTACTTTACTAAATTCAGTAATAACCAGCAYAAAAGTATCAATATGTTTTGACTTCAGGCAGAAATGGGTTTTTATTTTTAAGTCAACAATAATTTGTGGCATAGTAATTTATGTGACAGAGTCAAAAGACACTATTTTGGACAGTAATTATTTAGTCATAAATCTATATTTTTAATTAGGAATGCCTCGTGTACACATAGGAATGTAATTCTTTAGTTAACTGTTTGCGTGGAAAATGCGTAAGCAAGAAATAATTTCCGTACGTAATTACATTACAGTGAGTCATGCCTAGGTTTGGCGCTTGTTTACGTAAGTTCGTGTTTGGGACATCCTGTTTGCGCCTAGGGCGTGCAACATTGCATAGGATGTGTAAGGTCTTAAGAATGCAGGTTTTTCCATAAAAATAGGCCCAAACTAAGCTTAAATCAGTGTAGTAAAAGTTCTTGAAGACGTTGCACATATCAAGACAAGGAATTCTCTACGATGTAAAGAGATATCCTGTAATCTCGTTYCCGTTTTTTTTCATGTATTGTAAAGTTGTGTGAATTTTTCAATAAATTCTTTTGTCAAAACCACTTGCAATCTGATTCATAGCTGAGCGCCTTGCCGCCGGTTACATTTAGGTTAATGTTAATACCTAAGAATGTAAGATCACAAGTATCGCTAAAATCAATTTGTTCTATCAAAAACAAATATTGATTTATATGGCCATGAAATAACCAACAAAAATATTTTTGGCTTTYGAATGTTTATATTATTGCTGGAGTATATATTATTATTATAGCTTTTGAAACAGTACATATTTGACTGCTACGGAGCATAACTATCGCTTTATTCATTAAGGAGGGAATAGCATGAAAATTGTCCGAATTATAATTCAGCTGAAACTTTACTGGAATAACCCTTAAATATCTAATAATCACTGGTGAAAGTTTTATTCTGATATTCAGGGAAGTATTATATTTTTGCGAATTTTTATTAGGAGTCTTTGACTTCGTACACTCAACACTAAACATTGYTCCATACATTTATTTGTATTTTGTAATCAAAATATCTTCTAGTTTTATACTCAGTATTGAAGAAAAGATACCATAAAATGATTCTAACAACAAGTTATGTACGTTAAGTTAAGTTAAGTCCCTATATAAGCRGACCTTTGGGCTCAATAGAATTAAAGTAAAACATGAAGTTATTTACAAAGAAATGTATGGAGTGATGTTTAGTGTTGAGTGTATGACATCACAGACAAGTATAACATTCGTAAAAATATAATTTACTTCCYCATTGGAATACAAAGAAAAAACTTTAACCAGTTATTATTAAATACTTAAAGATTATCCCATTGAAGTTTCAGTGGAATTAGATTTCTGAAGATTTTCTTGCTAGTCCTCCCCTTTAAAATCAAGATTATTGACAACAGCTTTTAAGCTCACTCAACACGTGTTACTGCAAAGTTATGCTATTGAAAAGAAATCTTACAAATAAAATAATAAAATGATTGATTCACCAAGCTAAAGTTTATAACAATTAATATGATTCAAATACCTGAGTGTCTTATATATTCATAGCACAAACACTTCTCTATTGTCCAAGTTAAACATTATTCATAACATTCTTCTTCTTCTTCTGAAGAGTTACTACTTGATTCATACTCGTAACACTGATCGTATGTGAGATCATAGTCCCTTTCAAGGCATTCAGGAGCAGTTTCCATTGCAATTTCCAGTTCTTTGACATCAATGTCTTCAAATACATCATTCAGCATGTTGAGAAGGTCAACTGCATGAGACCTTTTAAATACAGGTACATTTGACACAATGTCCTCAAGTGTGAAGATTTTGTTGCACTGTTTTATAACAGCTTTCACTAGAGAATTGCTGAAACCAGCTGTACACTCAGGATGGAGGTAGGTAACAAGCCCTGATTGTTGACTGTCCTTGTGTTCCATAAGGAGTTCTCTCAAAAGTGTCTTGTCCTCCTTTGATACTTTCCTTATTCTCATTTTCTTMYCCACATTACTTGYGATGTCATCAAAGCAAGGAATTGGTATTTGACATTTCTCCTCACAATAACACTTCTGGTGACAATTCAAACAACAGTCATGGGTTCCACATTCAAATATCAGCTYGTGGATCTGTTCAAATTGTGATGCCAAATGTTTACGCAAACAATCATYGCTGTTACTGCAGTATTCAATGATGGTGTCTTYGCATTTTCGGAGATGCCGCCCATGGTATAGTAAGACTGCAAGAGCTGGTTGGCCATCTCTTCCAGCTCTACCAATCTCTTGAACCAACTCTTCAACCTCTCTTGGTGGCCCATAGTTAATTACAGTTCTCACATTTGGAAAGCTTCTTCACTTTCACTTAACTTTGGTTATTGTAGCCGGATAAAAACAGTGACAGCCAGTACTACGTCATGCTTTGTTGTCCAATCAAAACATGATACTGGCGTAAGAGTGGGTATGACGGAGGCGTGTGTGGGGCGTGATTAACCATTTTTCTGAATTAAATAGCGTACACAGTTGATAGTATGATTAAAAAACATTTTATTTTGAAACAAAGTTGTTGGTGGGTGTAAAAATATTTTAGTCCTTTAGCTATTAAAATTATTTATTTATTATTTTTTAATTTCTAAAGCTATGAAAATTTSTATAAAAGATAACTGACCAACAGCTTATTTAACTAAACCTATTTCAAAAAAGCTAATTGTCAAAGCCAAAGGAGATTCTCAGTGGCAGATCTAGGGGTTTAAAAAGGGGTCCGCTGCACCCGTTTTGTTTTGTTTTTTTGTTTTGTTTGTTTGTTTTTTTTTGTAAGGTTTGAATTTTTGAATATCAAAAAAAATATCTTCTGTAGATTTTAATTAAAAAGATTACAGAAGTTTTGGGTTGTGTCCTGTTGTTATAGCTTGTTCTTGGCGTCGTACTGRTAATTGGCCAAACTCAAGTATTCAAACGAACAGCACTCACATAGTAAATGCAAAGAAGTGGAAAATCTAGACCCCGTTTTCAAAAATCCTGGATCCGCCACTGATTCTAAGAGAAAAAGATACTGCTGCCATCAGAACACCAATTATAATGGCTTTGRTGGTCATATGCAGCATTTTAAAATATCTTAACACAAAACTCTGTATGCTTGATGAGAATAATAATAGGAAAATGCAAGTTTTTTATTATGGAATGTCATATATCRCTTGACACATACAACCTAGCTCACCTATCACCTAGCTTTCCTTTGGCTTTGACSACCATTTTTGCTAATAATACAGTACTAAGGTGTGCATTTAAAAATGGTTGGTGAAGATTTTGTTGCAAGTTGCTTATACCAAGCCTAAAATGCAGTATGGACGCTGTGAATTACATCAAAGAGAGGCCACAATGATATGGAATTTGTACAGAGTTTATCTGCAGGTATTCCTGACATAATTTTATTCTGTGCYGAGATTATTTACATATAAATTAAAATATATTTCAAGCTGAGTAAGGAATATGCAACTAACCTTCACAAACCTTTTTTGAAATAGCTGTAGATTAATCGGGAAGTGAAAGCACATATCAATCCCTTGAGAACAAGTTTGCGTTAATCATCAATGCTAAAAATGTGTAATCCAGAGTACATGTATTTATAGTGAACAAAGAAATAACGTTGAAGGGAATGACGTGATCAATACATTTTTTTCTATAAAGAATAAGTTTTTAATATTAATTACAAAAATGCAATTAATGAATATGAAAGTAATTACCCATTTTTTTTAGTAATTTCTTATTATTATTTAAGGTGGCTCGACTGGGTTTTGTTTGTAGCGTACCTTCAAAGTTTAAAGGAGAAATGCATCGCTGCCAATAAGTTAATTTCAAATAAATTACCATGACCTGTCTAGAGATAGATTCAAGTTTTACATGATATACAATTTATCGCAATCGGAGTTACCATAGCGATAAAAGTGACGTCATGTCATTTTTCTATACTTTCCATTTTTGGTGAAATCAGACGTTTGTTTAAAAAATGGTTTAAAAGTTCTTAAAGTTCATATGTTTGTCTTCAAGTTGACGAAGTTTCGAAGATTTGCATGGAAGCGTTTCGGAACTTTTGAAAACAACAAAAAATGTAAACAATCRAAAGCAATTAGTTCATGTGACCGAAACCTTTTCTTACTGGACTTGGGAAAAGCTTTTTTTKGRGTCATAGTGTTGYGTTACTATTCCACTAGTCCTTCTGAGAAATGGAAAGAAATTGCTCTATTCAATTTCGAGAAATATGATTTCAAGCCTAGTTAGTAAAGTTGTGCCTTTTGATATCCTGTCAAAGATTTCACTTGTCTTTACTAAAAACGGTCAAACTCAATAATCCGATGATGAATTCTTTTTTAACTTCAAAGTCAGTTACTTTAGATAACGCATTCATATACTCTAAAGTTTCAAGTTTATTGAAATAATTTAAAACCATCTAATAATATTCTCAATTCCGTAAACATTTGTATCCCAATGCTAAATATGCGACCGCTTTCTTCCCTCGCACTTTGTTTATATCGTTACGCCTTTCAATTGTCCAGAACATTTCCAAAGTCGTGCATTCCAATTCCTCACGCTTTACAATTAATGCCTGATTGCTTTCCAAAACCCTTCCGACTATGATAATTTGTGGTTGCAATTTTCAATGAGCTAGCAAATAACGAAGGACTTTATTTAGTACAATATTTTTTTAGTCTTTAGAGTACTATAGTTGTGTGACAAGTGTTTTTCTAAGTCCTTCATTATTTGCTAGCTCATTGAAATCTAGAGGCTTAGCTGTAGRCATTTTTATTTTCTTTTTAAACTCTGCATCTAAGATCTAGAAACCAAAACACAAAAAATTGTATTAAACACAAATGCTGAGAAATAAAAAATATGTTTTTTAGAATTATTCAAATTTATTAGACTTCTCAGACCCTCCCCATGCCTTGGAAATTCAAACCCCCCTTCACGGGAGAGGTATGGCTATTTTCTGGTACTACACAATATACCCTGCTCAAACTCTACCCACCCCTTGGAAATTCCAATTCCCCTTCATGGGAGAAGTATGGATATTTTCTATAGAGTAACTAACACAATTTTACCTGTAAGAGAAATGGCGCTATTGGAATATAAGTGTCTTTGGTTTTGGACATCAAGTTAAGGGAGCGAATGTAGTGGAACCTCAGGGGATAATAACGTGCTGTCGGCAACAACCTGAAAAAAATAATAGCAAATAGTTATCATCTTTTTTGGAATTAAATTCAGAACAATTAATTTCCGACCTTGCTGGGAATCGAACCCAGGACCTTCGGAATTGTACTTTGAAATTGTAAGTCTAAACCTGCTAATCCATCAAAATGGATACAATTGATTTTGAAATTAGGTTGAAAACCCAAGTTAGCCACCATTTTTTTGGTTTTCAAAATTGGCACTTTTCATTACTTAGCAGTCGTATATAACTTCTAATAGACCAATAGTAGCTAAGCCAATCAGAGCACAGGTTTTGTGATAGACCATTAGTAGGTTTTAAACTTAATTATCAAACTCATTAATAATTCATGA